GGTTGCGAAAATTACAAGACCGAGTGCGGCTGATGCCGTCGACGAGGCTTGCCCACGCCAAGAAAAAAGACCTGGGACGAGAAGACCAGTGAGTGGGAGCGGCACATTCAGAAAGGTCATGAGGCCTACTCCATGATTTCTTCGGAACCCAAGAAAAACTTCCGCTGGTGCTGCTGCTGTGGCTGTGGTCACAGCTGATGTGATGAGTGGGTCCGCTTTGATCGTCATGTGAACAAGATCGTTGTCCAGCTGGAGAACAGTGATCGGACGATTATTTCGGTTGGACTTGTCTGTGACAGGTACCTTGACGACCACAGCCGCTTCCATTACAGTGGCAGGACAGATGATGATTGCCGAGAGGACGTGCGAGTGGAGACAGCTCGCGGCTGGGTTCACGTACCCCAGCATACGCGAACGGGGGTGATGATGCACCGCTGGTCCGACAACCGCTAGACTCTAGACGTGGTATTGCAATCACAACTCCCGCAAAAGGTGCTACAGACAGGGCCACCATGGAACTGGCTGTGGCCGCCACAGCTATCTTGTTGTAGACTGGGAAGACCGCCGCCGGAACACAGCCGCGCGTTGGGAATGTTAGCAGCGACTCGGCACAAAACGGCCCACGTCGGGTACCTGCACTGCGGCTGAAAGCTTCTACTACAAGCCGTGGTCTTCCTGGAGCTTTGGCGTGGACTCGCCCCAGGCTTGCTCCAGGATGTGTGCGGAAGACAGGAGCTGCTGGCACTGGACTTGGGAGTTGACGCTTCACGTCTGCATCTTCTCCCCAAGGACGTCACAGTTCATAATGACATCCCACAAACTGTTATCGGCCTTCCTTCCGAGCTACAACTGCGAGGCGACCTTCTTCTCATTCGAGATTCCGCTGCACTCCAGAGACTCTGCAACTTTGCAGCTCCCGCACACCTTGAGCGGCCAGGATGCCGCTGGGGACCTCGGGAACCGGACTCTTAGTCAGGTGCTTTTCTAGGCTCTTGCCGTCATTGCCCGACTTGCGAGGACGTGGTAGTAACCACCGTGGACCTGACGACCTGCAACACGATCATCACAGAGCCGTGTAACAACGATGACGCCCGTTGGATGGTGACGCAGTCCGAATGCATCGGTCGAGGCTCACAAATCACGGTGTCGCGGTCGCCTTTCTCCCCTACCCATTTCAAGTGCTCAGGGATGATCGCTGTAAAGACTTCTCTTGCCCTGCTGCAACTTGAACTGCCTGAAATCAGTTTGGATTTGGGTTTTCTTCGATAGTGGTCAAGACCCGCATGGCATTCAGCATGTTCATGTCTGGTTACTACAGAGGATGGTGAGTCCCGCGGAGTTATGATGCTGATGGTAGTTGTCAGGACCGGTCCAAAGTACAATGAAATCATGGAAAGGACATGTCGGCAACTTCCACGATAACCCCGGGTACTTCATCCGTCCTCACCTGCAATGCTGCGGCCTTCAAGAAGCTGCCAGCAGCTCTGCTCTCGGCTCTGCTTTTCAGTGTCTTGCTATTTGACAGACATGCTTATTGCGAAGGGCGAAAAAGCAAGAAGTTGTGCTCTGCGAGATGCTGTTGTCGAGTGTGGTGATGTCCTTTGCCTCCACTTTCAAGGGATCACCCGGCCACTGAGAAAGGGAACGGTGGGACGGAGGGAAGGGGAGGGAAGGAGGGCCAAGACACAATGCTTCACGAGGTCACGTTCCGCTTTCCTGGGTTGGGCCGTTCATCAAATTCCGAAAGACTGCAAACCAAACTCATGTATGGTTGCGTCATGGAGTGTTATGCCCGCAGCTTTTGCATCGAAATAGTGCTTGATGCCGGAGGATTCTGCACATGTATATATATATATATATAGTTATGTAGATCCATATGTCTTTACATTTGCATAGTCAGATACATAAATAGCACAGTATCTGTACGAAAGTATAGATGTGCATGTTTGATTACAATCATACTCACACATATGCGCGTGTACATACATGCATACACGCATATACATCTGTACATCTATGTACAACTAGCTGTATGTATGCCTGCAAGCCTGTGAAGTATGAGTGTAAGCAGGTACCGATGGAACAGCTGTGCGTAAAAATCTTTTTGTGTCAGCACAAGAGGATCCAGTTCCTAGTTCCTCGTGACAGCCTGCAAATTAGAGCTGTGTAATCTGAAACTGCAACATCATGTTCTGTTCGGCCATGTCTTCAAGCACTTGGGCGGCATCGGTTTATGGCGTTTGCTATCCTGTCTTCTCTGCCAGTTTGCGCGCTGTGCAGATGTTGCCTATGTTGTTTTGACAGCAACTCTTGTCGCAGTATTGTACAATGCCACCATATGCATGTGGCATACATGATTAACGATGAGCCGACATCGCTAGTAGGGATGCAGTAGCAGTTGGTGTGCACAAGGTTGACATGCTCGGGTTTGACTTCCAGAAGCCAGAGGAGCGAATGGACCATGGCCTACATTCAAGAGTTACAATTTCCTTCCTCGATAGACTGTGTGTGCGTGGCCGTGCTTTGAACAAATTTCATGCGTGCGTAAGGAAATGTGACCAAAATTTGCAGGTGACCACCGTGATCCGATGGCTCCTGCGAGTGGTGCTCGTGCTCTTTCTGGCTTGGCCAGAAGCTTTTGGGGAAAGTTTGCGTGCAAAGAAGCTACTGTTACTGCAACTTCACTCTTCCATGGCCAGTGAGACATTTGTATCACACCTGCATTGTTGAGCCGTATGCTGACAAGCTGCAACTGGTGTAATGCACACAAGAAGCGCTGCATTCATCCGATGAGTCGGATTCAACTTCAGGTTGGTACGGCAAAGATCAGAGCAGGCCTTGTGTGGAACGTGGGTTGCGGAGATTGGCCTGTTCATGAGCACGGCAAGAACTTAGGTTTACTAGACGACTAGGCTTCTGTGTGGTCAGGAAGCAGAAGAGGAGGAGGAGGAGAATGAGTCGGAACTATCAGATGCGCGAGCGCGATCCAACGGCCTCAGGCGCTCTTTTCTTTGCCTCGGGTCCCAGGCCAAGCCGGCCGGTCTTTGCAACGTGTTCTCCCGGCAGGTCTCGGGGCAACAGTCGTCCAGTCTCGCGGTTGCAGCCTAGCCGTATACTCAGGTGGCATGCGCTGCTTTTCGTCAGATTTCCTGTCAAGCCTTGGCACATTTCAGCTGATCGTGCGACTCAACACTGAGGACGCGATCCGTGCGACCATCGAGCTGATATGCGGAAAGCCTCGCACTTGGCATCTGTCACACCTGTTGACATCGGACAGGTACGCGACGGCACCCCGGCAAAGAAAAGGAGTTGCTTCCGGCACGGATGCAGCTGACTTCGATTCCATCATAGAGAAGGCCAGTGGCCAAGCACATTGAGAAACAGAACTCATTGGCGCAGATGCGATGGTGCAAGCAGGTCTCCAAGCCGAAGGAGATGTGGCAGCCACGCAAAAGTGGCGAGCCTTTGGAGCTCAGACGATCGCAAGCAGCGGCCTTGAGTTTCGATGACGAGAAGACAACAAATGAGTCTGTTAGTGCATGTCTGCATGTCTTTGTGTCTTTTCCTTCATGCTCTGAGGGCGATGCCGATCCGGGTGTGACCGAGCGACCAGCTGTGACTGTCAATAAGCCGGGGTCGCCGCCTCTGTCTTCTTCATGGCCATAACTGTTGGTCGAGTGTCCAACGTCTATTGACGGAGCGGCCGGTTGTCTTCTGTAGTCTTGGAGCTTACCTAGGACTTCGTCGTCGCTTGATTCTGCACTTGTCTTCAGCCTCCTATAACACTGCATTTTCTGGACTTCCGACGGCTCGGATAATTCTCTTGTGTCGGGGTCATCAAGTCATGCGATGACATTTGCAGCCGCTGCTGTCGCATGCCCACGCCGAACTCGTGATGGCCTCCCTCTAACCAGAGTAGAGCTGTGCAGAAAAAACCGAGGCACGATGCTCAAGGTCCCACACTTCGCGGGCATGAACGGCCGGCCGGATCCACGGTTGACTGTGGGAGCGCTGTGCTGCTGATTTTTGTAAAAAAGAACGCATGTTGATGCGATCAGCGGGGGATATGAGATATGGTAATATGCTCTCTCACTGTCCTCTTAGTGCAGATCGTCACCTGACATTGGCTTCGGCCCAAAGTTTGGCAAGCAAAGATAATCCATCTTGACCCTGGAGTTCGTCAGCCATGGGTCCTTCAGAAAGCCGTCTTTCAGCGCACCACGGCATTTGCCTGAAGCAGATGTTTGCGGTGCACAGACGCAAGAACACCGTGCCACAAGAGCGAACTAACAACCAATGCCATGACACGTTCCAGTGCACAATGGCTTCTTCAGGTGACTTTCATCACATTCAACCACGAGAACAATCTGCTTTTCTCCTGCGGCAAGGACTGCACTGCACCTTGTGTTACGATCACGAGTCTGTCCCGCGCGTCGCCTGAGGACAAGCTCGTTTGCGTCTGGAGCTTTCCGGATGGAGAGCTTCTTGGCAGCTACCGGGGCCACAACGGAGCCGCCAGCCTGGCAGTTTCTCGGCAAGGCTCCACGAAGTGCTTCTGGTGCTTGGAACTGCCAGGTGTGGTCCTGCAGTGCTACCTTTGACTCCAGGCCGGTGATACTCAGATTCAAGCACAGGACCCGTGCCCTAGAATCTCACAGACCTCCCTTAGCAGATATTGAGTTGAACATGACCTGAACTTGTCACACGGACCATTGTGCATGGGCTCAAGCAGAGCAATGTCATGTGCCGCTGTATTGGAAAATAAGTGCGCCAACCAAACGCACAGATAGTTTCAGAGGGGACAAATGGTTGACCCGCCTGTTTTATCTTGGAACATCCTGACACGATGCAACCCATGCGAGTGCAGACGGCAGTGCCGTGCTCGCGAATGGTTGTGTTGCGATCCAGGTGCGACTTGTAGGAAGTTGCAGTGTAAAGAAGCAAATTTGAATGGCTTGAACTGTGCACAGGACGTTGGCCACCATTGGCGATCGCAGCAGATGTCTCCAGCTGTCAGGGCCACGCCGCTTGCCGAGTTGCTTCTCAAGATTCGGACACAAGGAGCGCGTCCGGCATCCTGGCCAGAATAGCTCAGACTAATTCTCAGAACTTAAGTCTGCGACCTGGCTTCTACTTCTTCTGCAGCTGTTGAATGACTTGAGGATCTTCTGCAGGCTTTGAGAGATCAGCTGAATGGTCCAGTCCTAGCGGCAGACGAGGCAGGAGAAGCACTACCAGGATGCTTAGAAGACATGGGTAGATTCAGTATTATCCGCAGTTTCGAAAGCAAATTGCACACTCAAGGTCCCGTGCCTCGTTTCTTGATCTTGTAAGACGTGTAGGCACAGATGTGTGTATGGATGGATGAATGGATGGACAGATGTTTGTATGTATACGTGTAAACCCAGACCCTCCCAATATTTCGATATCAAATACAGAAAATGTATGTATATATATATATGATATCTACGAAGGTTTTTAGACATAGATAGCTATTTATAATGTACGTATGTATGCATATCTACGTCAGTATGTCAGTCTGTATTCGTTTCTATATCCATGTTTGTTTCTATTTCCATATTTGTATCTACATCTATATCCTACATCTATACCTGTATCTATTTCTACATCCGTCTGTATGTGTATATATATATATATATATGTATACAAAGATGTATTTGCGTACGCAGAAATAGTAATGAATTCATAAACAATTAGATTAATTAGATACGAAATATGAATACAAGCACATAAAGTATCATTAACAAATATATAAGTATATATAAATATACATACATATGTGTGTATATATATATATATATAATATATATATATATATATATATATATATATATATATATATATCTATGCAGGCATATGTAAGCAAGCACTGCAACGGGATGTTCGTCTGGACTGGCTTGTTTGTTGGCCTGGAAAAGGACTACGCAGCCCTTGGATAATATTGTGGCCGATCATACTAGCTTTGGGTTTTGGGTTGTTATCATAAGTCTGAGTGCTACGGGTGCCACGAGTATGGCCGATCATACTACCTTTGGGTTTGGGGTCTACTGTTATCATAAGTCTGAGTGTTGCGCGTGCCACTAGTATGAAGAATTTCAATAGTCCTGCAAGCAACTCAAGTTGTCTGACAGGATCAAGCCGGCTTAATGTTGAGTAAATAGAACGGAAAAGCTTGTTAACCCTGGCAATTCTTATTCGACATGTTCTCCTCAGGACATGACTAGCATGTACCTTCTAATGTCCCTGCGGGAGCCTAGTATTGAATGTTGGCAATACTAGCACGATTTGCGCTCTCTTCCTCTCCCTACTGTTAGCATCATCAGTGACATGCCGCAAAACTTTTGCCAGAAGTTTCGATGCTTTCTTGTTCATGGTATTCGTTTGTACATAGGACGTCCCGATTCGTGCATGTTGTCAGTTCGCGGAGGCAATGGTTCTGGCCTCCACCATGGCCAGTGCAAAGGTGCAGGACCCAAAGATGTGGCGTGATGTTTCGACTGCGCTGCGCCGCTGCGCCCTAGCAGCCGAGAGCATAGAGTGTTTCACACCGGGACAAAGGCTATGTTTGGGGAACTGAGAATATTCACAGTAGCTTCAACAGGCTGGACCAGAGGATGCAGGACAATGATTGTGATCTTCATTGTCAGCAGCATGCGCTCATGGTTAATACTTCTTCTGGAGGGGGCCAATAAATCCATGCGCAGATGCGGGATGCCGACCAAAAACAGGAACAGTTGTCGGTAGTTTTCCCTAGGCGACGAGCTGCCAATGCAGTGGCTCACGAAGCTACCTTGGAAATTCGCCAGGGCGAGGCGGGAAGGGCTGAGATCCTGCAGTCGTTGCAGATGGCGTCGAATCTGGAGGTGCTTGCAGCCAGAGATCTTGGAGATCCTGTCTGCAGAGGTTCAGAGGAACCTTGGCCATTTCGATCCGCGTGGCTTGGCTGACCTCACATGGTCCATGGCGAAGCTGCAGCATCGTGACGAAGGACAGGACCCGAAGCCTTTCTGCGAAGTTGCGTTCGGTTGCCCGTTGCTCTCTCTCTCTCTCTCTCCCTCTCCCTCCCTCCCTCCCTCCCTCCCTCTCTCTCTCTCTTTCTCTCTCTCTCTCTCTCTCTCTCTCTCCCTCTCCCTCTCCCTCTCTCTCTCTCTCTCTCCCTCTCTTCTCTTCTCTTCCCTTGGAGGATTGCAGAGGGCCCTGACGCAGAGTCTCAGCGTTCGGATTGCCGAGCTGGCGCCTGTGGAGCTCGCCAAGGCGACCTGGGCCTTTGCCAAGCTCCACTCTGAGGATGGAGAAGGACTCTTCGAGATTTTTTTAAAGAACCTAAAAACCTATATCAATAAAAACCATGATAGAGAAGGACTCTTCGAGATTCTGGCGGAGGCTGTTGCCAAGTCACTTCCCGAACTCCAACCACGAGGGCTGGCCAACATCATCTGGGCCTTCGCAAAGACTGAGGTACGGAACCCGAAGCTGCAACTCAATCGGCTGGCAGAGTTTTCGAGAATCGCTGTACCAGGATTCGCTCCACAAGGTCTGGCCAACACGGTCTGGGCCTTTGCGAAGCTTCGGCTTCGTGCTGACCACGCTCTGTATACAAGCATGGCAGAGACCACAATGCAAAGCTTGGGAGAGTTTTCGCCACAGAACATATCTAACTCGCTTTGGGCGTTTGCAAAGGCGCGATACTACGAGCCAGAGTTGTTTCTGGTATCAGGGGACCATGTTTCGGAGAGGCTATCGGAGTTCAGTATCCAGGCGGCGGTGAACTCTGTCTGGGCGATGGCCGAGACAGGTCATCACGATCATCGGCTCTTGCACTGTTTTGCTGAGTATGCCCTGGGCAGACTTGAGTCTTTCAAGTCCCAAGACTTGTCGAACACCGTGTGGTCGTATGCTGAGTTGCAGCACTGTGATCACAGGCTGCTGTCAGCCGTAACAGGAGCGGTGCAGGGTAATGTGAAAAGTTTGACTGTCCAGCACCTGGTCTGCACCACCTGGGGATATGCGATGATGTTCGAGCACCGGCGGCACACGAGGCAGAGAAGCAAAGGCTCAGTGGATCAAGAGCGTCGTTTTGTGCGAGCTCTGACTGACGTGCAGTTGGAGAAAGAGTGCTGCTGCAACAGTGCGTGCTGCTTTTCTTCGCACATCTTCTCGTCGTTCGTGAAACTTGCTCACGCTTCTTGGGAGGTGGCTTGTGACATGTGGCGCAGACCGGCTCGTCATCGTCTGGGAGGCTCATACCTCCAGGCGCGCGCGCGTGAGTTCTGTGGCCCCCGCGGACTGATTGCTTTGTGGCGAAGCTCTGGCAAAATTGCAGCCAAGGGAGCTGGCCCGCGTTGAACTTCCTGGTGTTGTGCGATGTGTAGAATGGGCTGGAGCAGGCTCGTTCCTGCGACGTGTTGCGTTCCGCAAGTAATTCCAGGCATTGTTTGCACTAAGGGTCATGACTGAACTTGTGCCATCCTGTCCTTCCTCAGCTCCTGGTGTGAATGCTTCGGACGTCAGTGAGCGCTTTGTGTCCTTGCCTTACTCGCTGGAGCCATTCCGGCGCAAGTGAGAAGACTTGCCAAGCATGTCTTGGAGCCACATGTTCTGGAGCATGTCTGGGTATGTGCGAAATTCTGGTGCCAAGGACTGCACACAATCGCTTTGGTGCACATCCCCCTGCATTGACCGTCGAGTCCTTGGGAAGTAGAAAGGAAGCTGAAGCCACCATGGCTGCTTATCTCCTGGGCTTTGCGACCCGAGCCCGAGGTTTGGCGCTTCGATGGCAAATCCATCCAGGCCTCGCTCGAACCCTTTTTGTCCCACAGCGAGCGGTGCCTCTCCGGCCAGGAGCTTCGTGTCATCTCCAAGCTCCCTTCGGCGGCACTCCAGGCGCCCAGAGCTTCCGGCAGCAATCAGGGCGTTTCTTTCTTTTCAGAGATGCATTTAAACGGGGCAGCCTAGAGCCGAGAAGAAGCCTTTTTGGATCCGGCGACTTGCAGTCGCCGGCTCTTTGTTTCTTCCCACGATGACGCGTCTCTGGGTTCTTTGTTTCCTTTGCCAAAGCAACTTTGTTACTCCTTCGGATGCCCTGCAAGGTGAGATGGGGCAGGGCCAACTACTTCATTGCAAGCGCACACGACAGTGGTCGTCCTCTCAGTTTAGTTTGCACAGGAAGCAGTGCTACAGTTGGTTCGAGAAGTAGCTGTGCTATTGAATTAGTGTGGAACGCACACACAGAGACAGTGGACTGACAGGCGAGCTGATTTTTTGGCGAGCAGACACTGGTGCTGAAGTGAAGCGGCTGAAGGCCTCAGTGCAGACTTTGGAAGCTTCAATGCATGCACAAACTTGGTGTCAGTCTTATTGTCGTTGGCCGACGCATGCAAAATGTTGGACTTTCGTGGACTGTCATGCCTTCTCATGCTCACGTCCTGACAGGCTCACGATGCCGGCATTTCGAAGTTTGACTTCAATGATGACCGCGAGCTTGTGGCTACCGTCTCACACGTGCAGTCCTCAGTTGGGTGTTTGTGTCTCTCCTTCTCCGCGTCACTGCCCAGAGCAAGCAGCAGCTTTCGCTTCAGAGAGGTTTCAAATACACGCTGAGGACATGAGTGTCTGTATTTGGGACATCGGAAAAGGCCAGTGCACTGGTAAGGATCTTCTGAGCTCTTGAGAAGTCAGAAGTCTGCAGGGACCGAGTGGAGGATGTTGTACAAGGCGCAGACGGCCGGATGCCCAGCTCCCGAAAAACGACATCGCAGCCTCTCTCTTTCTGGTGCTCTCTTTGGTCTTTTTGGGAGGACCGGCCGCTGAATGCCGTGGCCCTGGGACCGCTGTCACAGAAGCAAGCCCTCGGCGCCGCGACCTCAAAGATTTTCGCTACGCCTGGTGAGCTGGGTTTTCAAAGTCACGGAAGAGTCCGCAGTTGGTCTCCGAGGCTCCAGCTGAGCGTCCAGGGTGTATTTGCGTGGTCGCCGCTGGTGGCCAGGATCGCATGAAGGGAAGTTGAAGGTC